TAGACTGACCGTTGCCTGGCGGCCTCCCTTTTCTTGCCACGGGGACTGACAAACACATGTTGTACCTGTACCAGACGTGCGCACACAATGGCGTGTGGTGAGCACCCTGCACAGACAAACCTGCACAACACGCAGACCGACAAACGCAGCGGCAAGAACAGGCTTCAATAGTGCATAAACAAACAAACAAGCAAACAAGCGAACAAACAACCACATGCAGCCGCGATCGCACCTGGAGCATGGCAACGATGATGGTCATCTCAACGCTGCAACGAAACTCGCCCGAGGAGAGCAACATCTTCGCCTGCATCGGCGGCAGCGGGAACTCGGCCATCTTCAAACCTGCACACAGTATCAACAGCAGCACACACACACACACATACGCGCCGTGAGCTTGGCCATGACACGTTGTTGTTGTTGTTGTTTTGTTGTTGTTGTTTTGTTGTTGTTGTTGTTGTTGTTGTTGTTGTTGTTGTTGTTGCAAAGCCTTGGTGATGTGATGGTGTGATGTGTTCACGCAGGTATCACCCACCGAGCGGATCAGTGAGCTTGCACGCGTCGTCAAGAGCTTCAAGGGCGAATAGGCGCTGCCAGCCACGGGGTGAGCACGAACAGTGAGGGATCAGGCAATGAAACGCATTGCAGAGCTGAGGCTGAATAACATCACACGGTGCAAAGCACAATCGAGCACACACGCACACACACACACACACACACACACACACACACACACACACACAAACACACACACACATACGCACACACACACAAATCAAACCAAACGAACCGAAACCAAAACACACCCGCACACCCAACCTACCTCCAGCGCGCTGCTCATGGCCTTTGCTGATGGGGCGGAGAGAAACGGGAACCGGACCACGTTATCAATGCCCAAAGCCTTCAGCTGCAGCACAACAGGCGACACATCCCTGGCCACGGACGCGCGCACACAGAAGCGCAGCGTGTGAGATTAAACGTGGTCCACGCAAGAGAGCGAGTACCACAGCAAGGCATGGAAGGGTAACCGCGTGATACTCACTGGCGCTGCATCTCCGGGATGGTGCAGCTGTCCAGCTCCTCATAGGCCGCCTGTTTGCGCAGAGAAACCACACGCACAAACACACTGGCGGCGTTAAAACCAAGCAGACTGCAACTACAACAATAACTAGAGCACAGACAAGCGTTGCCACCCTGAGACACACACACACATGCACACACACCTCTGTGTAGAGTCTGTAGACGGCGCCGGAGCGGATGCGGCCCGCGCGCCCGGCACGCTGATTCGCAGACGCTTTTGATATTGGCGTAATCTGGTGATGAGATGACACAGCATGGCGACGGCAGTGTTGGTGTGGTGTCAGTGCTGGGATGCCGAGTCGTATGATGCAGTTGTGACGGCATGCTGCAAGTGTTGTTTTCATCAAAGGTAGATGCACACACACACACACGCACACACACGCACACACACACACGCACGCACACACACACACACACACACACGCACGCACACACCTACACACGACAGCACAGACACACGCACACGCAAAGCACGCAAGCACAAAAGCACGCACGCAAGCAAAGCATATATACACACCACGAGTGACTCGATGCCAGTTTCTGGGTCGTATCCCTTGAGCTTGACAAATCCGCAGTCCACAACATACACAACGCCTGCGGCCGCAATATAGGCACGATGTTGAATAGCAGCGCAGGCACGTGTGCGTGTGTCATGCGTGAGAGCGTAAACAGGGAATGCAGCATGCACCGTCTACTGGACATGGAGTGTGGCTGACATGAGCAGCACCAGCGCCAGCGTGAGTTCGGACCTGGAATGGTCACGGAGGCCTCGGCAATGTTTGTTGCCACGATGATCTTGCGTTTGCCATCCCGCGGGTACTCAAACACCTGCATGCGGTGCGCAAACGCGCCGTGTCGACAGAGCAACGTCAGCGGGGACGAAGCAGATACGCGGACAGCCGAGCGGAGCAGCACTCAACACATTAATATCGCAGAGCACAAAGATGGCGGCTGTTGCGCCCTGCATGCATGGGACAGCGCACACGCAAAAGCACCACTCATCTCCATCCAAGCAACAAGACCACCGGCTCACCCGCATTTGCTGCTGTGCTGGGAGAGCGCCGTACAGCGGAAGGACGGATGCGCGCCGTCCAATCCGATCCTGCAGCCGCTGCACGACATCATCGACCTGCAGCGCCATGAACACGCACAGGGAGGGAAGGACACACGGATGCACAGAGATACAGAGAGACATGCACACACATGCACAGAGATACAGAGAGACATGCACACACATGCATAGAGATACAGAGAGACATGCACACACATGCATAGAGATACAGAGAGACATGCACATTGACGCACATTGACCCACATTGACGCACACGCACACATGTATGAGCAGCAAGTCAGCGAGCAAGCATGGGTGTGTGAACAGGGCAGGAGCGTGTGCACGGGGTGAAGGGCACACTTCTGATCTATTGCTCACAGCCAAAGCATGGCTCAACCGCTCCATCACGAGCAGCGACGCAAAACACAGCGCCGACCTCATCCTGGCCCGTGAGGAAGGCAAGAATGTCACCGTCCCCCTTTGTCGCGTGGATGTCGCAGATGGTGTCGATGGTGGCGGTGATGTAGTTTGCCACGGGCGCCTCAGCATACTGCACCTCAACGGGATACGTGCGACCCTGACGTGCATCACAAAAGGCGAGCAGATTGAGTGCGTGGACCCATTTGCGATGTTATTGGTGACAGCGAGGTGGCCGTGGGTGTATGGGGCAAGCTGCCGTGACAGCAGTGGTGACAAGCAACAACATCCTCCTCGTTGTCTGGACACGCTATCACCAGAAAAATTGCAGTGCCATCAGGTGGAGCGCCCATACCTCGATGGACAAGATGGCTGCGGTGTCCTTGCTCGGGTCGTTGGTCTGGTTGCGGTTGAAATAGTCCTTGAACGTCTCTGCATCAAGCGTGGCCGACGACACAATGATCTGTGCTCAACCCGGGGAGGGCAATGGGCAGTCGAGGTGTTGGTGTGTGAGCAACAACAACTAGCAACAAGAACAGCAGGAGCAGCAAGAGGATTGGCGACAAACGTGGATCACGAACCCAATGCATTCCTTGTTGGGCTGGGAAGGGGGCAGCGAAAGAGCACAGTCATGAGAAACAACACATGATGTCACCTTGAGGTTTGGTCGGCGCTTTTGCACCTTCTGCAGCAGTCCGATACAGATATCCATGAACATGGTGCTGGCAACACAGGGGGGGGGGGGGGAGGGGATACGGAGCAAGTGAGTGTGTGGATGTGGCGCGTGTGTAAAGCCAAGCTTTTGATGATGCAACACACACAGCTGGGAGATGAGGGCCAGCGCAAGGTGGGGACATCAACGCACAAACTCAGCCACATACATACACACACTCATACACACATACACATCCACACATACATCATACACACATCACATACATACATACAATGCAGGCATGGCGCTCACCGCTCGTGGGCCTCGTCAAGAACGATGACGCTGTAGCGCTGGAGAAGGGGATCGCGCATCATCTCGCGAATGAGAACGCCCTCCGTCATGAACTTGATGCGTGTTCGCTCAGCATTCACCACGTCATCGAATCGAATCGAGTAGCCCACCACACCGCCAAGCCTGTGCAGCACGTTTGTGTGTGTGTGTGTGTGTGTGTGTGTGTGTGTGTGTGTGTGTGTGTGTGTGTGTGTATGTGTGTGTGTATGTGTGTGTGTGTGTGTGTGTGGAAAGGACAGCATGGCGTTAAGGAAACAGTGCAAAGAGCAAGTCAGCAGGAGCAGGCCTCGACAGCACACACACTCACTGTTCTCCCCGCTCCTCCGCAACCCGCTGCGCCACCTGGTGTGGTGCAAGTGCAAGCACATGTGAGTGAAGAGGAAAGAAAACAGCGCAGTTGAAAGTAAAACAAAGGAAAGGTGATGAGGATGACACGCAGACGTACGTACGTACGTATGTACGAATACAGGTACACAGACAAACAGCCACACAGACACGCAGAAACATTCACAGACACACTCACAGACACAGACACAGACACACACACATACACACTCACAGATACACGCAGGCATACACGCAAAACGCACCGATACTGCAGCAACGCGACGCGGCTGAAGAACAGCGATCATCGACCCGTCGTCACACCAGCCAGCATCGTACAAGAACTGTGGGAGCTGCGTTGACTTGCCACTACCTGTGACACACACACACACACACAAGCACACATGTACACACACAAGCACACACACACACACAATCAGGAGCCCGTGTCAATGGTTGTCGTGTCACATCATACCAACACGACGCGCTGTCATGGCAGAGGGATATTGCACCTGTCTCGCCGACGATGACAACGCAGTTGAACTTGTCAAGCAGATACAATATCTCCTCCTTGTGCTGCAGCAATAGCAATGCACAAGAAACCAAGTGGTACGTGAGTGACGATGGAGATGTCCAATGAGAGAGACAGAGACAGAGAGACAGAGACAGAGAGAGAGAGACAGAGAGAGAGAGACAGAGAGAGACAGAGAGAGACAGACAGAGACAGAGACAGAGAGAGACAGAGAGAGACAGAGAGAGACAGAGAGAGAGAGAGACAGAGAGAGAGAGACAGAGAGAGACAGAGAGAGAGAGAGAGAGAGAGAGAGAGAGAGAGAGACAGAGAGACAGAGAGAGAGAGACAGAGAGAGAGAGACAGAGAGAGACAGAGAGAGACAGACAGAGACAGAGACAGAGAGAGACAGAGAGAGACAGAGAGAGACAGAGAGAGAGAGAGAGAGAGAGAGAGAGAGAGAGAGAGAGAGAGAGAGAGAGACAGAGAGAGACAGAGAGAGACAGAGAGAGAGACAGAGAGAGAGAGAGAGAGAGAGAGAGAGAGAGAGAGAGAGAGAGAGAGAGAGAGAGAGAGAGAGAGAGAGAGAGAGAGACAGAGAGAGACAGAGAGAG